TTTCAGTGTTGTGTTGGCCCGGTTGTGTTGATCATACAGGTGGATATGAGGTAAGATGGTTATTAGTTCGCGATGGCTGGATGCTACGCTATTAAGGTTTGTCTAGTTCTAGTCATACCACGTTATATAACACATAGGGGTTCAGGGTTTGTTTTGTTGTTTTTTTTTGTCTTTTGGTTTTGCATTTTTGCAAAAGTACAGCTCTCTATTCTAGATCTTTATGTTTTTTTCTTGTAACTGGGTATAAAATGTATTTCGAGTAGATCTAGTTTCTACTGAAGCTGCAGATTTAGATCTAACACAAGACTGTAGTATTTTTTTTTATGTGAACCTAGCCAATATTGGTTTTGAAAGTTTATAGCCTACGTTTTTATGCTTAATTTTGTTATGCTTTACTGAAAGGGGGGGGGGGTAAAATATTACATTATTTGAAGCAGTGGCGAGCGAGGTCGGGTGTCACCCGGTGCGGCAACTTAATGGTGTCACGCACCAGAGGCGTAGCGACCCTTCCCGGGGGACAAACTTTCAAGTTTTCGATATACACCCCCCCTTAAACTTTCGAATTGCACCCCCCCCCTCAAGTTTTTCTCTATATATTTTGCTATTTTTTGCCTTGGTGTCACCCCCCTAAATGGTGTCACCCGGTGCGGTCCGCACCCTTCGCCCCCTCCCTCGCTACGCCCCTGATTTGAAGGGTGGTGGTCGATGGGAAAGCCTTATAGCGCTGTAAGTAGTAAGGGTTGGTCAATTCTGTTATATGCATGTTGTAAAGCTAGTATTGCTTGATAACACTAGATCTAGTAACACTGGTCACAGCGTGGGGCTAGTAACACGGGTCATAATGTGGGGCTAGTAACACGGGTCACAATGTGATACTCGTAACTCTTGTTTCTGATAGAGTAGCCAGGAAAATGCTCAAAGGTAAGAAATGCGCAGTAGGAAAAGCGCACTCATAAAGTTACGCATAATTGAGGCTGGACATAGCACATTTTTACGCTTATCTTAGATTTCTGTGTGAGCAGTTTTATAATATTGACAGGAATACAAATGTGTGTGTGCGCGGGTGTGTGGGTGTCTGTGTGTGTGTGAGTGCGTATACGTGTATGTTATTCTCAAGGTCCTACAGACAACATAATAATATATAAGAATTGTTAGTTATCTGTTACCTCTGAAATTAAAGGGAAAAACATGAAAGTTGATACAATTCAAGCTATTGTGCTAAGTTTGTAAAATGTTCTTTTGGCAAACACCCAAGACAACTATTTTCACAACTTTTTTTCTCAGTTAGTTCCCTTATCGTTTCTCTATATGTTAAACTGTAATGGCGTCTGACAAATGTTTAGTCCAGCGGTTCTGGGCCTTGTCTATCGAGGTGAAAAGTAAACATTAAAATAAATATGTGATTTACTTCCTCTCGCACAATCCTTTAAGGTAGTCAACATTCTGTGGTTTTTTTTTTATTACATTTCGTTTAAAAATAGCTTATTGTAGGCAGCGAGTGTAAATTTCTCACATCCGGACTCTAAACTTAAGGGACATTAGCAAGTTGTAACGACTGGTACCGTGTATGCGTGTTGTCTGAATCTGATTTGTAATACTCTTATCACTGTGTCATATCCCCAAATGACTTTACTAAGATGACCAATGATCCCGAGATGTTCAATCCGATCCCCGGTTGAGCAATCCGATCCCAAGTTGACACATGATCCCCAAAAGACCATTCCGATCCCCAGAAAACCAATGCGATCGATCAAATTTAGACTTCTATCGCCTTAACTATATATGTCCTCCCCCGACCCCCTAAGGATACTTTTACCTGCTTTTTAATAAATTATTTTAGGATTAATTTAAGCTCTATTGTCCTATTTCCTGCCCCCCCCCCCCCCACCCCCACATTTAGAACCGCTGGTGTAGACCACTGGCCTTTACAAACTCCTGCAGTAAACAAAAAACAACATTCATGTTCATGTTGACCTATGGTGTAATGTTGCGGCACTGTACAGCTAAGGGAAATAATTTAAAGGGCAAATACCCGCGAAGGGAAACAATTTGAAAGGGAAATTACTGCCACGGGCAAACAGCAACGCCTTAACTTTCTTTTATCTGCAGAAAAAAAAAAATATGTGAGGCGTTATCTTTCTCGTGCACGCCTTTTCGTGTGCATTGTGTTAACTTACATTCTTCAAGTTTGTAAAATAAAAGATAACTGACTTTATGTTCCTTAGCCGTCAAGGGTATGTGAAGTAGAATCGGTCTGCATTATGGACTCTCTACAGATGTCAGTAGGCCTGAGTTTTGTAGATCTGTTGGATCTATGTTGGTGAAGATTAATCTCCAACGTTGAACTTAATTAAACAATCAATAGTGGCAAACAATTCAATTAACATCGTTGGTAAAGGTGTTGAAGGTTGATTAATTAACCAATCAATAGTGGCAAACAATTAGCCTAACAGCGTTGGTGTTGATGGTTGTTGAGACAAAAACATGACCTTGATCACGTGATGTAGTGACAGATAACGAGTTTAGTTTTTAACGCTTGTACTGTGTACGATGATGGTACTTTTCCGTTATGGTTTACCAAGTGGCATTTTCTAAACACACATTGTCTTCCAGTGTATCGATTCCTCTAAAATCGGTTAAAGTACTACGGGATATATTCACAGGGTATCGATATCTTAATATTACTACGGGGTAAGTAACGAGGGTATCGATACTTAAAAAATCAATAGAGTACAACGAGGTAGATTAAGAGGGTATCGATAACTTTTAAATTGGTTAGAATACTACGCATTTTACGAAATTATTGTGTATTTTGGGGTCTATTTTTAACAATATCTATCTGGTACCTCCTACCGGAAAAGTGACGATTAAAGTGATGCCCCCAAATCAAGTAACAAAGTGTAGCTTAAACTGTATTTGTTAGGGTTATTATGCTGTTGTCACATCCTGAGTGAACCAACTAGCAACATCACCAGATAGACTCTGGAGTAGAATCCCCTAGGGAAGAGGAAAGTAGGTAGGCCAATACAAGCTAGGAAAAGGTAGGCTGTCGGTGAAAAAGAAGCAGCCGGAATGTTGTGGACCCAACTTGGAGGAATTACCCAGAACCGATGGAGAGGTGTGGTTGTGTCTCTATGCTCCACAATGGAGCCAAAGGAATGATGATGTCTTTGTTTCATTTGACAGCAGTGGTGCCAGCGATGATATTGTGACAATATAGTGACAAGTATGTCACATTAACATACAATCAATGTGACAACACACAAACAAGGCATGCACATGTATGATACCGTTCATGTGTGTGTAGTGAAATAGTGAAGGATTCACCAAACACAACACCACGTGTGTTAGTAGAAAGCCGAGTAACCATCACATATAAATTCTATGTTTCAGGTTTGTGTTTAGTGAAATGGTGAACGATTCACCAAATATAACACCAGATGTGTTAGTAGAAAGCCGAGTAGGCCCTAGCCATCAAATGTAAATTATATTTTTTAGATGTGTGTTTAGTGAAAAGGTGAACGATTCACCAAATATAACACCACGTGTGTTAGTAGAAAGCCGAGTAGGCCCTAGCCATCAAATGTAAATTATATTTTTTAGATGTGTGTTTAGTGAAATGGTGAACGATTCACCAAATATAACACCAGATGTGTTAGTAGAAAGCCGAGTAAGCCCTAGCCATCAAATGTAAATTATATTTTTTAGATGTGTGTTTAGTGAAATGGTGAACGATTCACCAAATATAACACCACGTGTGTTAGTAGAAAGCCGAGTAGGCCCTAGCCATCAAATGTAAATTATATTTTTTAGATGTGTGTTTAGTGAAATGGTGAACGATTCACCAAATATAACACCAGATGTGTTAGTAGAAAGCCGAGTAAGCCCTAGCCATCAAATGTAAATTATATTTTTTAGATGTGTGTTTAGTGAAATGGTGAACGATTCACCAAATATAACACCACGTGTGTTAGTAGAAAGCCGAGTAGGCCCTAGCCATCAAATGTAAATTTTTAGTTTCAGCGTGCGTGTTTGTACTCATTAAATTAGGCGGTGTTAAAATTTAGGTCACTTGCTTGTTTAACTGAGGCCAGCGCTGCTGTTTGTGTCTGTATATATATACATATATGTCTTTTGTGTGTAGCTTTGTTTGCATGTGTATGTGTGTGTCGGTGTATTTTCGGAATGTATGCGAGTGTATTTGTATAAGTGTATGTGTTTTTGTGTCTGTATTAGTGTATTTGTACGTGTAAGTTTAATTCGTTGTACAAGTAGAATCAGCAAAGGTTTTTTTTTTTATTTGTAAGACTTAGTTTTCTTTTGAGATAGAAAAGGCTTCTATTTACGTGGTTACTTTCGTTTAAGATTTGGTGTAGTTTGACGACTAGCAGAGAGGTTAGTGTTTAGGTTAACTTTACACGAGGAGCAATGTTGGTGATGCAAATTCAAAGAATCCAAAAAAGTAAAGTCAATTCTATCTAGGAGAGAACACATAAACAAAACTATTTGAATACAATAAGCTAGGAACCTATAGAGGCCCCTAGCATCCTACACTGGCATTAGTGTCAACTGTTACCTAGCTAGTTTTTGTTGTCGCACTAAATTAAATCCATCTAAAACGAAGCTCCACCTACTCTAATACCAAACATCATCAAATGTAATGATACTTTATAATCGTATTTTGCCAACAGATGTGCATTTTCAGTATAAATTAAAGCACCCTTTTGAAACTTACGGTTCGATAGGCAAGTGAAGTACAGTTCGCCCCCCCCCCCCCTCGCTACGACTCTGCACTATGTCGGTCATATTACTCTGATTGTTTGAATTTTCTTCTTCCTCCTCCCCCCCCCCCCCCCCTCCCCACCAACCTTCATGCTGTACAAGTTCCTCCCCCTCTCCTTTGTGTCACTTTGAATCTCACTTTTATTTGGAGCACCGGCTTGCTAAGGCCAACTGTCAACACCTGGAATCGTAATGTGCAGTTTATGAGAGGGCGTGTGTAGGCATAGAGTGTTGTGGTTTAGCCTATCTGTGATTTCCCCCAACCTACCTATGAGTAGGCCTAGGCTACAAGTAATTCATGAAATCTGTTCTTTAGCCAATTAGCGGAGTAGCACCATATAAACATTAATAGGCTTATAAGAATAATAAAAGGGTTTAGGCCAACGGTTTTTTTTATATTTCATTAATGAATTTAATTAATCAACGTTTTGTATTGGCGAAGATAACCGTTATAAAAATGTAATTCAGGTTGATTCAATGATGTTTATCTTCGTTAAAAATAGGTGAAGGGCACTTGAGTAAAAGGACGAGTTTTAAGTTGGGCAGACCATGTTTTAGACTGCTAATAACTGTGTTACTTCTTGCAATGTGTTGATGGCATGGTGATTGTCAACTGTAATTATTACTAATCTAGTAGAAACGCTATTTCGAGTTGGATCACTATTTAATAAAAATGGTTCGTTCATAGATCTAAAGCCTAAATAGTAGGGCTATTTATTAAATTATAATCTACTCATGTGGAAGTAAATTCTAAATCTAGATCTAGATCTAAACGTATAAAATAGTTTTTAGTTAGTAAATTCTAAACTGTGATGATGATGATGCAATGCAAATTTTGCAAAATAAATTAAAAATTAAAGCAAAAGTATAGAATGATTAATTGATTATAATAATATTAAAATAAATTAGAATGGCATAGATCTAGATCATTAGGCCTATATAATTATATTATTATAAGATAAAGAATAAGAGTAGATAACTTATTGGCCGATTCTAGTCGGAATAAGATACGCATGCGATACGCATGCGCAATGGAGAGAAACTACGACTTGCCTTAGCGGCGATGTTTTCGATGGTACTGCGCATGCGTGTGTTTACAACCGCAGAACCCTAATACCAACCCTAATCCTATCCTTAACCCTATCCCTAATCCTATCCCTAACCCTAGCCCTAATCCTAACCCTAACCCTAGCCCTAATCCTACCCCTAACCCTAATCCTACCCCTAACCCTCATTCTAGCCCTAACCCTAGCCATAGGTCACTGCGCATGCGCAGAACTATCTTTTGCCGAAAAATCTTATTCCGAGTAGACACTTCGTAACTTATTACTAGGCTAACTTCCAGCTAGATTGCTAGCATCTACTTTTATTTGTCCATATTCCTTAATCAAAGACACCAAGTGAAAAGGCCTCACCTATTAAATTATTAGTTATTGACGCCTAATATTATCATAATTGATAATGATAATTTTGATTTTCTCTAGGCCTTACTTGCTGTGATCAAATAAAAATAAAGAATCATTATATTTATATCATGATTAATATATATTATATAAGTATTACATATTTACATATGAATAGGACTTGTGTGGTCATACTCACGCTAATTTTTTACAACCCTTTTACAGTAATGATTGTAATATAACAATGACGAATCAGTTTAACATTAATATTACTTATATCAACAGATCAGATGAATGATTACCTTCCTGTCGCTGAATGTCACCTATGCATTCTCTTACAATCATAATTTATAGTCTGGGAAAAACCTGATTGACAGAAAATGGCAATCAGTTCTACGAGAAAGAAGCCCCCTCCTCCGCTGGATAAGCAATGGGCGTGGATGATTGTTTTGGGTAATTAAGGGATGAATGTTTTGGATAATGAATGGATGATTGTTTTTAACTTAGAGAATGATGGTTTTAGATAGCTAATGGGTGGCCTAGCTAAACAATCTAAAGCCTGTTTTTTGCTAGATGACACCAGTTAACCAAATTAAACTCTAGAACATTGCTATATATATTGAAAGGCATATTGAAAGTTGCCTTTGGTTTTTTCTAAATGATTAATAAAAAATTCTATCCTTATGTCCAACCAAGCATAAATTTATCAGCAGCTAACCCTAACACTACCAACAGTTTTAGATTTAGGTCTAGTCTATTAATTGCCATAGCATATCCCCCAATCAAATTTTAAAAGTTTCAAATATCAACCATTTTATTTATTGAAATTCAATCATTGTTATTTAATGAGTTATTAATGGGACGTGTGGTCTCAAAAAGAATCAGAGCTACTTTGGTGACAGTAGATTTTGCTATGTTTATTTGAATTTAGATTCCATCAAATTATTATTGTTTAGCTAATAGGGCCTACTTTAAGTCGGTGAGCTAACTGAACATAATCATTAGTGAAACTTCCATCATTTGTTGTAACTATTTTCAGGTGTTTTTCTATGCCTGCCTCGTGTTTCCAGCTACCCAAATCCCATCATCATCTTTTCGGTTTGTGCCTAAGATACACGGGGCAGATGAAGTAGAGTTCATCTGCTTCAGAGCCCTCGGCATATGAAAGGATAGTGTGGTCAGCACTACGCCCAGCCGCTTTTTTGTGCTATTGTAAGTTAGGTACCCATCAGAACTGGGTGGACACAGGGACATTCTACTGTTGAACCCGAATTCAAACTCGAGACTTTTGGGTTAGCTGTCTAGCTCTTTTCGCTAGGCCATGCCATCCCATTCCTAAGGTCTGTTTTTAGTTTCAGGTGTGTTAATCTACGCCTTCTACATGGTCAGCTGACCAATTTCTATAATCTATTTTTATTTCAGGTGTGTTAATCTACGCCCTCTTCATGGTCAGTTGACCAATTTCTTTGTTCTGTTTTTATTTCAGGTGTGTTTATCTATGCCTTCTTCATGGTTGGACTGGCCAAATCCTATGGCCTGCTTTTGTTGGCATTCCAGCAAAAATTTGAAGTATCCACAGCTGTAGCCTTGCTGCCCATGAGTGTGTCTGCTTTTGTGTATGCTTTTGGTGGTAAGATCTTAATTAAACTAATTAGAGAATCGTTTCAACCATTTTAGAAAACATTTCAATATTTTATCATTTAATTTTAAACTTTTTACAAAAATTCTCAGGGAGAACTTAATTTTTGTAATTAATTAACAAAAATATATTGTGATCAGTAATTACTTTGTGCTATTATCTACAACCCTATTACAATGCGTTATTTTAAATTAATTAATTAATTAATTCTTAACTTTTCCAGCTCCAACTGCTTTAATCATTGGTGAAAGAATCACACCACAGAGAGTAATTATCTTTGGAGCAGTAGTTGGTCTTATTGGGTTGGCACTTAGCAGTCTGCTCGTCAGCATGCCTTACGTCATAGTTATGTATGGAGTTAGTGTTGGTAAGTTAATGTTTTGTCATATTTATGTTTGGGTTTAGTGATGGTACATTCATGTTTTATGTCATAGTTTTGTATGGGGTTAACGTTGGTATGGTGATGTTTTATGTCAATTTTGTCATGGTTATGTATGGGGTTAGTGTTGGTAAGTCAATGTTTTATGTCATAGTTTTGTATGGGGTTAAAGTTAGTATGTTGATGTTTTATGTCATGGTTATGTATGGGGTTAGTGTTGGTAAGTTAATGTTTTATGTCATAGTTTTGTATGGGGTTAAACTAGTTAAAGTTGGTATGTTGATGTTTTATGTCATGGTTATGTATGGGGTAAGCTAAAGTCTTCTTACACCATGGTTTCAAATCTGGGCAGGACTGACTAGTTTCTAGGGGAGGGGCAATTAGGTTAACAGATATATGTAACTTTTCATACTATAATAGTAAAGTTTTGTCTCTAGTTATTCATTTAAAAATGTTTGTCATGTATTAACTACTTAGTAATTGCATACTGTGTTCTTTGCTATTTGGTAATGTTCAATTCATGTAAATTTTATATATATAGCTTGTTGTAATTACATGAATGGTTGGGTTGGTAAACTTCTGCCTTGTAGCTTATTCTTATTGAACCAAGGCTATGGGAGCTTATTTAAAAGAAAAGTTCCTGAAATAAGAGTGAACAGCCGATATTACCCTAACAAGTTGATACATAATTCTTAATTGTGTGAGAGGAATTCCCTTCCAATATTAAAATCAAGAATGAAGAAGAAGAAAATAATATTCTACTTTCAATACCTGTTGGTGAAATTTCCAGGCTTTGAAGTTTGAGATTTGTCATAAAAAAAGTTTTTATCACTAATATTAAATTTCTTTATTTATTTCAGCTTTAATCTCATCTTTTTCTATTTTGTGCGTAAGACACATGTGGGAGATAAAGTAGAGTTAATCTGTTTCAATGACCTCAAAAAACAGGGATAGTGTGGTCAGCACTATGCCCAGCTGGCTTTGTTATGTGAATGAGGCACCCATCAGAGATGGATGGGCTAAGGGACGTCCTACAGATTCCAGCATGGGATTTGAACTCGAGACAGTGGTGTTAGCAGTCAACAGCTCTACCATCAGACCATGCCATCCCTATTTCAGCTTTAGTTATATTTCATTTGTATTATCTAAGACAAGGGGGACGGAGCGGTCTAGCGGTAGAGAGCTGGACTGCTAACCCGTAAGTCTCGAGTTCGAATCCGGGTCCAAGTCAGTAGACCGCCCCTGAGTCCACCCAACTCTGATGGGTACCTAACTCTCGTTAGGGAAAGTAAAGGCGGCTGGGCATAGCGCTGACCACACTATCTCTTCATATGCCGAGGTCACAGAAACAAGTGAACTCTACTTCACTTGCCCCATAGACCGTCAGGTTTGAAAGGGAAACTTCTATTATCTAAGACAACTCAGAAAGTGAAATGATGAAATGTACCAAATCCTGTTATGGTACCTTTTAATCCACCAAACCAGGGGTCTCCAAACTTTTCAGTCCGAGGGCCGCATTAACTATCAAATTTCAGTTCGGGGGCCAGTAGCGTAGCAAGGGGGGGCGGGGTGGGACATATGTCCCCGGGCGCCGACCTTAGGGGGCGCCAAAATGGGTTGGAAAAATAAATTGAAAGGTTGAGGGGGGTGCAAATTGAAAGTTTGAGGGGGGGTGCAAATCAAAAGTTTCTTCCAGGCATGTCTTTGATTTTTCTGGGCAAAGTTCCTCAGCCATCACCAACAAAGGTTTTTTCCGTGCACAAAAAGAGCTCCGCGGGCCAGATGAGAGGACATCGCGGGCCACATCCGGCCCGCGGGCCGTAGTTTGGAGACCCCTGCACCAGACCAATGGCATTATGTTGGTTACTTACACTGACATTTCTTTTTTCAGGAATCGGCAACTCCAGTTTCTATGGAAACGGCCTTGTCATGCTGGGAAAGTACTTCAGGAAATTCCGGACCCTGGCTACAGGCATGGGTCTGGCAGGGGCCAGTATTGGTCAGTTCCTGATGCCCCTGATCATTGACCACCTCCTGGAGTCCTACGGCCTGGGTGGCACCTTGCTGATCATCTCCGCCTTGTACTTCCACGCTGCCATCTCTGGGTTTCTGTTTCGACCCATTGAAAGCTACGGGCCTGAGGAGGTGGTCAAAGCTGAAGTAAAGCAGGTGAAGTAGAGTAGCTGGTTAGAATTTTTTCGACTTAACTCTAACTTAAACATACAAATGTATTGTGAAAATCAATTCACATGTGTACAATTATCTACAAAACTAATTGTTTGTGCACATTTGTTAATAAATCTAATATACTTTTATCAACGGAAAATTATAATTTCATCAACACACCACTAGCTCAATTCAAAGCTTAAATTTTTATCTCCCTTATTTATGATATATTTTTATCACCCTTATTTATGATATATTTTTATCTCCCTTATTTATGATATATTTTTATCTCCCTTAATTCCCTAGCCTCAAGCCAATGGTGAGGGGCAACTAGCCAAAACAAACAAGGAGTTCAACTCAGCTGACAAAGATGACGGGATAGCGAGACCACTTCTAAATAACGGACCAAATGGTACCTTACACTCAACAGACCAAAATAACATTGAAGAAATTAGCAACAAAAATGACGCCGATGCTGATAAACGTTATGATGAAAACAGAAGTGACCAATGGGATGATTCCGTTGATGACCAGTTCTACATCCAGCGCAGGGCCATGCTAACCAGTACAGGCAGCGTCTACCTTGTGTCCCCCTCCGTTCAGGATGTCTCCAACATTGACGAGAAGGCGCACAAAGTGGACATCGCAAAATCCAAATCACTGACTGGCTGGCGCCGCGTCATTGATTTCACCGTCTTGAAAAGCTACATCACCTTGTTTTTTACCCTAGCGTCTTTTCTCTGTTTCTTCGGATATTTTAATTTCATCCTGCTGCTGCCTCCGATATGTCAAAAAAAGGGCTTCCGCGGGTTTGAAAATGCAGCTTTAATATCCGCCTGCGGAGTTGGTGATCTCATAGCCAGGATAAGCACTGGGATATTTGCGGACCTAAATCTGGTGGCGAGGTACAAGATCAAATCCTTCGCCTGCCTACTCTGCGGTGTGAATATATTTGTTATACTGTTTGCTGATACGTTTTACTGGTTGGCGTTTCATTCGTTCATGTACGGATTAGTTGGAGGAAGCTACGTCTGCTTGATGTCTGTGGTGCTTGTGGATTTTGTGGGCGTGGCGCTCATGGCGAAAAATTTGGCTGTTGTGTTGCTGATTCAAGGGATAGGAGCTTCACTTGGTCAAATTTTCCTCGGTATGTTCAAATAAAATTTTTTTTCAATTTATTGTTAGATTTTTTGACTAAATTGTAATCCTTTGACTAACTAAAAGTTGAATTTACATTAATAATAACTTCATAATAACTTTTTGATAACTACAATAATTGTCTTTAAATAACGTTGAAAATTTCATATTGTTTGTAAAAGCAGTGGTCTTCTAAATTTTTAATTTTACAACCATTGATATATATTTTTTTCCCTGGGGTTTCACACTTGTATTTTTAGTGTTGCTAATCAGAATGTAAAAAAAAAATACCACTCTTGATTTTTAAAAATAAAAGTTTGTCTCCCTTGGAATTTAGACTAGTGTTTTCTACCACAGAAACTTAATTTAAAAAATAGAAATGTTCTTAACTTTTTTAAATGTCAAGTACATCAACACACTGCATACCAAACTACACACTACACTGACTCACTTGGTACACACCAACTTATATTATTCACACCGACCTACACACTACACACTGACCTACACACTACACACAGACCAATGTCAGTGTATTTTTAATTTTTATGATGAATATTTTAAAATTTGTGTTCTATTTTAAAAATTCCTAGATGTAACATGTAACTTTCTGTTTTGTGTTTTAATTTAGGTTGGGTCACCGACACAACTGGATCATTCACAGCCGTGATCCTCATATGTTCTGCCAGTCTGGTGCTGGGGGCTCTGCTGCTGCTCATGTACCCTCTGGTCAGGCGCTGTGAGGATTCTAGACTGGACAGGTTGAGGAAGAAACATGAGCAAGATTACATGACTCCTGCATGATACTTGTTGTGTATTTTTTTGAGTTATATCCCTTTGTTAATGAATCAAGTGAATTGAAGTTTTAGTTTTTAATATAATTACCCTGATGTTAGATGTGATTTATATATATATATATATAAATTGGTCACATATTATGTGTATATTCAGTTGTTTTTCAGAAGTTTTATTGCTTTATTACTTAGGCATTGCAATGTTTAATTGTTTATTGTTGTTTAGAAGTACTTTAATGTTCATGTTATGTTGTATTTAAATGAAGGTTCAGCCAAATTGCATGTTTTTACCGCAATTTCCATACGGACAATTGCGATTATTAACTCCTCATTTCTGGATGGATGTGTGTCCCCAGCTTTAAGTCGTATCTCCTCCTCAACGAAGCAATATCGAGGACTAGTTCCAAAAGCAAATATGTTAAGCAAGTTCCAAGGATCATTGTGGGTAAAAAAAATTCCCGGAATTCCTTCCTGGATTTCCCGGAGAAGCCAAAAAACCTAGAAAAAATGCAGTTTTTTGGCCCATATCTCGGCAACCAGACCACTTAGCGACTTGAAACATTTACCAATCGATTCCTGCCATAATTTAGAACAATATTGCCGAAGAAAGTTTTCAAAAATCCTTTCATTCCGTCACAAAAAATTAATTAAGAACATTTAAACTGAGCATCGTGTAGGCCTAGGATGATATTTACTACATTTTAGCGCAATTTCCATACTGGACAATTGCGATTATTAACTCGTCATTTCTGGATGTATGAATGAATGGATGGATGTGTGTCCGCAGCTTTAAGTCGTATCTCCTCCTCAACGAAGCAATATCGAGGACTAGTTCCAAAAGCAATTATGTTAAGCAAGTTCCAAGGATGATTGTGGGCCAAAAAAATTCCCAGAATTCCTTCCTGGATTTCCTAGAAAAGCGAAAAAACCTAGAACAAATGCAGTTTTTGGTCCATATCTCGGCAACCAGATCACTTAGCGACTTGAAACATTTACCAATCGATTCCTGCCATAATTTAGACCAATATTGCCGAAGAAAGTTTTCAAAAATATCCTTTCGTTCGGTCACAAAAAAATATTTACTACTTTTTTAAACTGAGCATCGTGTAGGCCTAGGAAGAACATTTAAACTGAGCATCATGTAGGCCTAGGATGATATTTACTACTTTTTACTTTCTCGTATATACGTAGTATAGAGAAAGTATTGTAATCGTGCAAAAAAAAAAAATCGAGATTTTTACAAATCTCGACGTTTTACACCTCACTGATACGGAAAAACATAATTTTGCAATCTTGTCCGTATGTCTGTGTGTGTGTGTGTGTGTCTGTCTGTGTGTGTGTCTGTCCGTGTGTAAACACGATAACTTGAGTACCGTTACAGCTAGGTTGATGAAATTTCATATATAAGTATTATATTAAAATCGTAGATCCGTATCAACTTTTGAGCGATTTCCGACAACCGGAAGTGGTACTTTTTCTACTTTGAATTTTTCAAAAGCCTATAACTTGAGTACTATTTCAGATAGATAAATGAAATTTCACATGTAAGCAAAAGATCTAATTCTCTACCTTCTGTTAAATTTTGAGTAATTTCCGTTGACTGGAAGTAGTAATTTACGCTACTTCCGATTTCTCAAAAAACTAATGTAAATTTTTAAAGTACTAATACTATTGCGCACCATTATACACACCTTTATTAGGCGTTTGCTTGGTGCGCAATTGTTTTTTACTGAGATTCTATTCTATTTTTAAAAGTTTCAGTATTTAAAATGGATTAAAAATCATAACTATATCCCCAGTTACCATCCCCTGTTGTTTTATATAAGAATATTCGAGAAAGTTTAGGGGAGATCACTACCAGTTTATTTAAACTGAGCATCGTGTAGGCCTAGGATGATATTTACTACTTTTTTTAAACTGAGCATCGTGTAGGCTCGTTAAAATAAAACTATTTCCATTGATATAGGTTAATATAGTTGTCTTTTTTTAGCGCAAAAAAAATATCCTTTCGTTCGGTCACAAAAAATTAAAAATTGTTATGGATAACATAAGGAAATTACGCTTAAATTGTCACTAGACTTTTTATTAACTTGTTTTATGTTAGCTTTATAAGGTAAATCATTGGAGATAATCGACGTTGTAGTAATGAAGGTAAGGTCAAATCACCTAGTTGTGTTCAGTTGTTGTAATGTAAGCATTAGTAGCAGTAAAATATTATGTGTTTTAGGTGTTTTTTTTATTACTGTAACGTAATTCATGTTTTTTATTGTTTTCTTCTTCTTCTTCTTCGTTCTTAATTATTGTTTAAATTACAGAGCTATAATTTACTATAAATAGCTAAAAATATTCCATATTATGTTAACTTTCCATTAATGTATATTAGCCAGAATAGGAAAGTTTTTTAAGTTGTTGTAAGTTAGTTGCTGTGTTAATTTAAATGTCAGTTAAAATTAGTTAAACATGTAATTTGATGTGAAATAACACAAATTTAAGCTTAAAAATGCATCTACCAAGCTGATATCCCTATAAGGAAGTGTGAGTTGATTCTACTATAAAAAGTGAACTCATTCCAATTTTGTGTTATTTTTTTTTAAATTTCAGTGATCTTGTGATCAAGTAAAAAGATAGCCGAATCAGTTTATTTTTTTCCCCCTATATTTTATTCTTTTAATTTCACAAAAAAATAAAATTTATCTTGAACAGCAGGGATTAGTAAGATTATGATAAATATTAGGTAAAGCAGTTTTTTTCATGACTCAATTCTATGAGATAATTTTTTTCTATTTTTTTTTTAGATGTGAGTAATACGATATTTTTAATTACATTGATTTTGTTAAAACATCATTGGGACATAGTGGTCTTGTGGTAGAGAGCTGGACTGCTAACCCCTAAGTCTCGAGTTTGAATCCGGGTTCTAGTCAGTAGACCGTCCCTGGTTCCACCCAACTCTGATGGGTACCTAACTCATGTTAGGGAAAGTAAAGGCAGCTGGGCATAATGCTGACCACACTATCTCTTCATATGCCGAGGTCACAGAAACAAGTGAACTCTACTTCACTTGCCCTATAGGTTTGAAAGGGGAACTTTTAAAACATCATATTTGAATTGTTATGAGCTTAGGCTTTGATATTTTAAGCTCTGTTCATTGTTATGAAGGTACCAGTGTGGGATCTTCACCTTACATAGCAACAATCATTGCTTAGTGAGGTTTTGTTTTGTGTGAATGAGGTTGGATTTGGTTTGTGTTTTGGTAAAAATTTTAAACTAGTGCTTGACTCCAGTGTCTGAAGTGGTGACACCCAAATCTCATATTGTAATAGAATTAAGCTCTCTTTTGGTGATATATATATAATTGGTGGCACATTTCATGTATTGAACTTAAAATCCAATGTGCAGATATGACTGACTTATAAAAGTAGAGGCTTACAAATTAAAAGAAAAGAAAACAATGTCACATAAGTCTGAACAACTAGCGATTGGTCCAATTTGAAGGACATAAAAGTTCGATGAGACACCCCCTACTTTCCCCTAAATTTTGACCTGCTATTGATTCTGTTGTTTTTTTAAATTTAAAAAAAAATAGCAGTTTTAATGACAAATTATAGCAACATAGAATTTTCCTTCCAAACATAGTTTAACATGGGCTTTTAGTTGATTTTTAAAAAAAAAGATTTCAGAATGTATTTTTATCCATTTGATATTTTGCTAGAAAGACCAACTCTACTTCACCATATTTGAAAGGGTACTTTACTTAATTAACTATTATACTGTGCAATAATAAAATGGTAGTATATTTTTGCAAGTTTTAACATTGGGATTGAAATGGTTTTTATTTTCTTTAAAATTGCCCTGCACATTGAATATGAAACGTTGACAGTATGTTGGCCAGATTGTTTACGAGAAATATTTACATTAATTGTTGGTAATCATTTCAATTATTTTAATAACCTGGTGACGTGTGTTTTTGTATAGAGAAAGACAGGAGAAAGAGAGCGAGATACTTAGAGGTCAATAGACTTGTATATTTTTTTATGTATAGTTTGATCTGTTGGGACCTAATAGTGTTATCTAGTAAATTGTTCAGCATCCAACGAGAAAAATTATTTGGTGTAATAAAAGATGTGGGATTAGTAAATTTGATGTAACATGTGATTAAAACAAGATATATCTGATCTCTTGTTTAACTCTTTCACATCATTGACTTCATAAAATTTTAAATCATTGACTGAAATTTCACATCATTGACTTCATAAAATTTCACATCATTGACTGAATTTTCACATCATTGACTGAATTTTCACATCATTGACTTCATAAAATTTCACATCATTGACTGAAATTTCACATCATTGATTGCATGAAATTTCACATCATTGACTTCATAAAATTTCACATCATTGACTTCATGAAATTTCACATCATTGACTTCATAAAATTTCACATCATTGATTGCATGAAATTTCACATCATTGACTTCATAAAATTTCACATCATTGACTTCATGAAATTTCACATCATTGACTTCATAAAATTTCACATCATTGATTTCATGAAATTTCACATCATTGACTTCATGAAATTTCACATCATTGATTGCATGAAATTTCACATCATTGATTTCATGAAATTTCCTATCATTGATTTCATGAAATTTCACATCATTGACTTCATGAAATTTCACATCATTGATTGCATGAAATTTCACATCATTGATTTCATGAATTTTCACATCATTGACTTCATGAAATATCACATCACTGACTTCATGAAATTTCACATCATTGACTTCATAAAATTTCACATCATTGACTTCATGAAATTTCACATCATTGATTTCATGAAATTTCACATCATTGACTTCATGAAATTTCACATCATTGACTTCATGAAATATCACATCATTGATTGCATGAAATTTCACATCATTGACTTAATGAAATTTCACATCATTGATTGCATGAAATTTCACATCATTGACTTCATGAATTTTCACATCATTGACTTCATGAAATTTCACATCATTGACTTCATAAAATTTCAGCTCAGTCCTGTACTTGTTGGATTAATGTAAAATTTTGTGTTTAATATAGGTGGATCTAGGTCTAGGTTTGGGACCTTTCCCATTCTAAATATATTAGAATATATATGTATATATATATATATATATATATATATATATATATATATATATATATATATATATATATATATATATATATATATATATATATATATATATAATAGGCTTGTCACCTCCCCTTCCAAATAAACTCTAACTTGACCATACTTGGACTTGTCATTGTGTGTGACTAAATTAAGCGGTGATGAACTGCACGACAGACAATTATTGTCTACGAGACTGGTTTATGTTGCGGTAATTAGAAACGAAAATACAAGGCCTGGCAAAT